AAGAGTTGGGGATTATGTCGGAATTACTAACTTAACCAAAAGGGTGATAGTGAAAGAAAAGTGATCCTTAGGATATCTGAACAAAGTAATGTTGCAAATTAGAATACTTTCCAAGATTCTCACCTTGCCGAGACCGTGGCTTTTCTGATGAAGTTAGTGTTTGGAACCAGCGAGCTTCTAAAGTTCAGAGAATTCACTAAAGAAGTATTGTTTTGTTTTATTTGTTATCTTAAGGCTAGGAAATAGAATTGATATAATCTTGTGTCAGTATACTTCATTGTTAGACTAGTTGCTTTCGGTTGTAATTACGTTTGTTTCGTAGTACATTTTCTTTAACAATAAAAATGGAAACTTAATCATATGTTTAAACACATCTTTATACACCTTTTCATGTACTCTTCTTTTAGTGAAGAGTAATTCAACATCTTGTCAAAAACATTCTCATTGTCCTTGCAATTAGTTTTCTAATTCTTATTATTATTGTATCTTATCATGTATTGAACATAACTTGGTTTATCATTCAAGGATTAACTGGATCTACTATAGAAAGGAATTAAACATATTAAGTGCCTCAATTATTGTTGTTCACTCAACGTATAATTTGTTATACCTTATCTGAATTGTCTCTAAGATATTCAATATTTATTAATTGGTATCAAAGCCATGGTGGTTGTCCTTTGAATCAATATTAATTAGATTATCTTTGATATACATTACCTTGGTGTCTCTTTCATTTATGAATCTAACATGATAAAAGTTTGTCCTATATGCTATTATGCTTAAAACCACACAACAATAGCTGATCCTAATCCTAACCAACCACTATATTCCATGCAAATTACAAACATTGTGGGTTGCCCTACAAGAGCCTCATTACTAGTTGTAGAAAAATATGACCACTGGAAGATGAGAATGGAAAGTTTTTAAAATTAAAGTATAAAGTTGCTGAAATCTAAAGGTATGGAAATGAAGGCCAACATGTCCCCGTTAGTCAATAACTTAGGGATGTTGCAACTAATATGTTAGGTAAAGAAGAGGTTTGACATGTAGCTCCAACTATCTTAGACCATAATAAAATTTGTGATTATGACATTCTCTTCTCTGAAATGGTTTTTGGTATTACTCCTTCTCTTTTTGAGCATACCAGTCTCTATAAATCTACAAAAGAGATATAGGATACACTCAAATATCTATTTAAAGGTTATGAAAATGTCAAAGACTAAAGGTTAACCTTTATAGTTTATGATTATGACACTTTCTCCACCACTCCTGGAGAATCATTGGTATAAGCAGCAAATCATTAAAAAATCTTGGTGAAAAGTCTCACTGCTCATGGTCTAAAAAGAGCTCCTGATTGAATACAACATTAAGTTCATCAACAGGCTTGGAAAAGGTTAGGACATTGTAAAATCATGTCTTCAAAGCAACAGATAAAAAAAGTTGACCAAATTTCAACTTTTTGATGAACTTTAAGGCCATGAGTAAAATGTTGCTTAGAATCTAAGAGAAATCTCAAGTGGACCCCTTACTATTTTTAGCTCCACAAGTTTTTCCCCTCAAAGCAATGCCTTTTCTTTCTTATATCTCAAATCTTTTGGTTCCCTTCCTATAAGAGCACTTTGATCCTGATGTTTCAGGTAATGACATCGCATTTCAATAAGATTTCAACATGTTAACCATTAAGTAAAACAGGCGTCCATGGGTGAACAACCATAAAACCTTTCCGATGAAATTTCGATCGAATAACCAATTGTCTTCGTACTAAGAACCTAACCAAAACCATACACTCCAAACAGTATTTAGTTTCCCAAAATGTTATGTCCCTACCTGTTGAAAAAAACAGCCAATAGTCTTTGGTTTCCCAAAATGTTCTGACCCACCTGTGGACAAAACAAAACTCATTTATCACAGTTTCGGCCTCAGAAGTAACTATTCTTGGGATTGTCAATCTCATGATCCTATTAAAACAAAAGCCAAGATTCTTCATATTATGCCAAACATGCTAAAGAACTTGTTGAAAGTGAAAAGGAAACTATTGCAATTGTGTCTAGAAATATGGATGGTTATTGGTCAACTATTGATGAGAAGGAGAGTAATGAAGAAGTAAACTTGTGTTTTATAGGAAAACACAGTGTTGTGTGTGATTTGTGCTAATAGTCATCTAGCTCGGATGACGATGATATTGACAACCCCATAGAGAGAAACTACTTGAAAGATCTTTATGCTCAAGAAACATTATATGGTGATATTTGATGGATAATATATGATCCTAAAGGGCCACACTAACAACAACATAATGTTAATGTATATAAAATATGATCCTTGATAAATATTTTCATTTCTTCTATTTAATTGGATAATTATTATTATATGAAAAATAATATTTTACCAACATAAAGGGAACTATTGTTTCTAGGAAATAATAATAAAAGTTAACATTAACAAGTTTTATTCATAAGGTATGAATATATGTGTCATGTATATTTATTTGGGAACTTTGAATAACCATCAAGTTAGCACATGTAACTAGTTAGTGAGAAGCTTGAGGTAAACACACTCTTGACCCATGCTTTATGTCTTGATTGTTAAACCCATAGACCTCATTAAAAGATTAAGGCTTGCTTATGGTCTTTCTTCTTACATCCCATACTTGTCATAAAAGGTTCATTCTTTGACTTGTTAAAGGATTGTTGATTTAGTACATGTGTCGTAGTATATAAAGAAGAGATATGACAAAATAGTAGGTAGCTTTTTCTTAAACTTTGTAGTGTGTTAGGATTGATTATGAACACATATGATTAAGACAATCAAAGTTGTAAATGAATAAAAGATGTAAATAATGTATATTTGGCTCGATTAAGTTTTAATGAGTACAAGAGTGAACAAGAGTACAAGAGAGAATTCAGCTAGTGTTTGAACATTACTCTACTCTATGCACCTACCTTATTTATAGAGTACATGTGACTCACAAATAGTTACAAGGGCTAAACATCAAAGTGTCAAAATAAGAATGCCTTGTAAAATAGACAGATTGTTGAATTCATACAACATTTGACACCTTGCATACTCAAAGTACATTCGGTTGCTCACTACAGAGATTCAACCCCTACAATCTACCCCTTAGTGAGAGTAATCGAAAGTCAAGAAATGATCTTTAAATTCTGTAAAAGTTTTCTTCAAATCTCCATATACCAAAGAATGATTTTTTGAATCTCAGCTTTGTCTTCACTGTCATTCTTCTAGCAACTGTTGATTTGAATAAGGAGATTAGTATACTGAGAGTTTGTGTACCTCTCAAGATTGCTAATTTGAAACAGAAACTTTGTCATTTGCCCTTTCTTGTTCTTTCCACGGAACACAATACTAATAGGTTGATGAGTAATTTCACCATCTTCATAATCATCAATATTTAGCTATCCCATTAACAAAGATTGAGGGACTTTCGATGGCTTATTAATAGTTGTTTCAAATTTAGTATCTGTGATCGCCAAGTAGCCGTAGTAGTTGTCAAGAAATACTTTGATATGATCATACCCAATAATAAAATCAACACTATTGGTCTCTATTATCTTCAACACATCAACAGTTCTCAAAATCTTTGTAACCGTGATCAAATTATTAAAGTTCATCAACGTAAAATCGGCTATTATGAACTCAAAAACAACATTATTTGCTTTTACAACCACATAAATAAAGTTTTGTAACGGACCTTCGAACATGATATACCGAGTGATGGTCATCACTTTTATTAACTTCACTGGAGACAACACCTCTTCTTCATTCTTACCCAAGACTGCGTGAAAGCGAATCTTCATTCTTCTCAATTCTTCTTATCATTGATGTTCTCTATGATCTTTAATTGTAAAGAAGTGAACAACGTATGAATGATCGGAAAGTCAAGCTGATTAAAATCAAAAATTTCTATGTCGTAGTTTTTCTTTGGCTTTTTTCTAAAATCATCATTCATTCCAATAGAAATAACATCTTCTATTATTTCATAACACCAGTTCATGTTGGAATCACCCTTTTTCAAGCCAGGTAGGTTATTTTCTCTTCGCCTTGGTATGTTATTTATATGTCTTTGTTTTTCAATTTTGATGGCTTGTTGCTTTTTCTTCTCTTCTTATGATAGAACAATTGAGATTGAGTTCCCTTTTTCATTTGAATCAACATTCAAAGTTAATTTTTTAGGGATTGAACTCGAACCTCCTGCTCCTTCATTTATTGAGATTCCTTTTGTCAAAGTTCTTGTTGTAGTTGTTGTAGATTTTGAATATATAGGCTTCATTGAAATAGTTGTTGGGATTTGAGTACCTATCACCTTTCCCATAACAAATCTAGAATTATCACCTGCACCTTTCGATGAACTAACAACTTCTTCCCCTTGAGACACATGCAGTGCATGAGGAGCATTTGTTGTAAGTCAAAGGAATGACCTCCTAATTGGATCCAGTTTAGCCTTAATGTTTGTCTCGATTTTAGAAACCATTTGATAAATGGACTCTAGAGAAATCGTCGATTGAGACGAAAGCATGTTTTGATTTCGGATAAGGACTCTTTATCTTTAACAAATACTTGAGGATCCCCTTTCACTTTGTCTTGAAGACCAATTGTGTAATCTTTGTTGAAAGAAGTGAAGTCTTCAACCAAGCAGGATGACGCTTCAGCAACCACATCAATTTTTTTATGTAGTGTCAAAGAACTTTCAACAAAATTTTTAACTTCATATTCTAACATCATTCAAATATAAAATATTTGAGTCTGTCTATTGTTTCATCAATTTGTTTTGCAAAAAGATCGTGACATTCATTCGAAAAATCAAGAAGCTTAGAAACTTCACCAGTAAGATTGTAAAAATAACTGAGAATCCGTTCATCGCTACACTTGTCAACATCATCTATGAGATATTGCAGTTGAGACTCTTATGCTTTGAGAAGAGAATCAACTTCGACTCCACTCACATAATTCTTGTTTCATGTATCAGCCAAGAACTGTAATATCTAATTCATCTTGGAGTTCAATATTTTGAATTGTTTTCCTAACATGATCATTTCATCAGGAATATTCTCCTCCTCTGGATCAAACTGAAGATCAGCAAAAGACACCATGACATCGTCATCATCAGTTTCATTTTTGTGTTGTGACTTTTCAGTAGATTATGATGAAAAGAGAGTGACAATATGTTGTTGCATGATACTAGAAAATGTTAGTTATATAGTCGACATTGGAACGGAAGTGGGAATGGATGATGAAGGTAGTGGTAAAGTTGTTGAAGTTGTGACTATTGAGGTGATCGTAGATTCATTGATGAACATCCCTTCATACATGTTAAAATTTGTGTCCTTATTAAATAAGTCGACAGTGATGTCTGGAGTTTCGACCTCCTCCTGACCAGACTCAGTATGCAAAACCCCAGATAATTTAACAATTGTCTTCTTAGGGATACTAGTGTTTTATTGATCACTCAATGTAACATCCCCAATTTCATGGCCAGAAAAGATCGATTTGTTTATGCTTTGTTTTATAAAATCAGAGTAAATCTTTTATAGAAAATAGTTGCGGAATTTGTTCCCAAAACAAAATATGATAACCATTTATCAAAACATTTCTCAAAGAGAATGTATTTTCATTAAATAATAAAAACCTCGGGATGTCATGTTCCGATACAGAACAAAAGCATATACAATATAAAATAGACCTTACAACAGTTATTTATAACTACTAATCTATAATCCAAAACCTCTCATCAAGTCCACCAACTTATACTCTTGTGCCATTACCTGTAATGCAAAGAAAGCTGAGTGGGTCAGACTTGGGATCCTGGTGGACATATAGGGTTTTCAACCCACAATAAATAATTAATTTAATTTCATCAACCAATAATAACCCAATTACTCATTCATGTTATTCTCACTTTACATCCCTAAGACAACTAATACAAGGGACCTAGTCTAAGAATATTTCATCGGGGGCGACAACACAAGCTTCGGGGGTTCCTCAGCAATATAAGTCAAATAAGGCAACCATGAGGGGGATGGAATACAACGAATTAACACCCAAGTTCATTAACACCTACAGGTTATGAGCCTGATAGTGTTCCATGGGACTGTCTAAAAAGAGTCTGTGGTCGTCATCTAAATTCCGCTAGATGACTGGATCACAATGACATCGAGGCCTCTCATCTGTTTATCACACATTACCTATCTACCCATGTTCTACCCAACATATTAGTAGATAAAAATATATATTTTTATACATAGTTTAAAACCTTTATAGCATTCTCATTCAATACATATTCCAAACAACAGATGATGAACGTACACATAACACATATTTCATAGAGAATAAATCATATTTATGAGATAGGAGAAAGTGAATATACATTCACACATATAACAACAAAATATACACCTAACACGTATTTCGTATAAAATACTTCATAATTATGTGTTAGAAGAAAGTAACCACACACTCACTTGATCAGAAGATGACCAGACAGCACTACGGCTTGTAGAAGTAGTATTCTTTGGTAGATCTGGAAGATCTTCACAAAAACCAAACGCCTTGCGCGCATAGCTTCGACTCAGAAACTCTTTTCTTCTCGGGATCTTCAGGCTTCGGGACTCGCTTCGGGTCTCGGGATGATCCCGGGGCTTTGGGGGTACTTCTTTGCACGTAAATTGAGGTAATATGGTTGAGAGATGAGAGAATAAGCAACCAAACTCGGCTGGCCCTTCAAATCTATTTATAGGGCAAAACTGGCCCTTGCCACGTCGTGAGCTTGGTCGTCACTACATGCGTCATCTCAAGTTGCATCTGGGGGACTCCCGGAGGTGTCAGAAGGCTTGCCAAGTCGTGGTCTCTGACACAACTTTGGGGTTCGCGCCCCAAACTTCAGTAATTCATAACTTTCGCATACGAACTCCGTTTTCGACGTTCTTTATATCGATGCGAAGGTGAGATTATGCTCTACAACTCTCGTTTAGAATCCATTGGCTAATTTTGAATTTATGTTTAATATATTATAAGTATATTACTTATATATTATCTTTAGTAGGCCAGAACATGAAAACTCCGTTCGAAATTCGTAACTCCTTCATATGAACTCCGTTTTCGTCTATCTTTTTATCGTTGGACTACTATCGAAGACATCTTCTACTATCATATAGATCACTAAGGATAGATATCTATCTACCTTAAATTCACTATTTACGTCGCACTGGGTCATGCCGGTTCTGTCGCGAAACTTCGATAGGTCATAACTTCTTCGTTATAACTCGGATTTTGGCATTCTTTATATGCACGGAAACCTTGTGAAATATACTACAACTTGGTTAATATTAATCCTTCTAAATAATATTTCATCAAAATTTCATTTTTGACGCTTATCGTCTCTAAATTGACTAGCCCGGATCTACGGGCGTTACACTCAAATTTATGTTTGTATCCTTATTAGATACATTTACATTACCATCAGGATCCCCTATCTCCTCAAAATTTGACTTGATAGGATGATCCCATCGAAGTGAACCAAAATACAAATCCTTTATTCGAATATCTAACCTTTCAATGTTGCTGCCATGCTCAGTTTCGACTGTCGCGTTCTCAAGTGGTACTTGTACTTCACGTTTCTTTTTGTTTAAATTTTGAGCCATATCAATAGCTCTTTGATTCTTGGAGGCTGGTGATTTAGGAATTGTTACTTCACGAAATAGAATACCCTTCCAGCTATGTTGTGCTCTTTAAACCTTCTTTAGACCACCTGAGAAGAAATAGTATTTGAAGATTCAACAGCATTGTGCTTAGCACTTTCGACTATAGGTTCTTGTGTAGCTGTCTTGACTGGAGATTCAGTAGGCCTCTTTACTGGTTTCTTCGTTCTTTTAAGAATCATAGTTTTCATGGGTATGGTTTCTTTGACAATTTACTCTTCCAGAGATTGTGGTTTTTTTATTTGTTTCTTCTTCTTCAAAGCCTTTCAAGCTTTACATGTTCCTTCTACCCCCTTTTGTGGAAGAACCCTAGTTGTAGTAAAAGAGTCAGTAGATGCCAAGTATTGCACCAATAGTGGAGTTTTAGGATCCACAAGCTTGAGCATTGAATTTGGAATTCGAGCAAATTTTTGAAAAACATTAGAATCATCCATAAAAACCCTTGAAGCAGCCATTATCGCAAGCTCAACAGTTTCGACATCAGATGGAACAAGAATATTCTCTTGACTATAAACCTTCTATAAAATTAAGATCCAAAATCGAGCACTTGAAACACCATTTGTTAGATTCATGTATGATATTGAGGTTCCAAACTCTTCCCAAAGATGTGAAGCATAATTCACATTCAGAGCATAATACAATCCTCCTATGACTAAATATACTACAAGCTTGAATTTTTTGAGACCATAACTTCTTCTTATTTAGCATCGTAGGACAATCCTAAACAGAAGCTCTAAATACAGGGAAGACTAGACTTCTTAAAATGACTGATACCAGTAAGGATATGTTGATGCCCCATTTTTTTAAACATATATACCACCTGATCATTCGTGACTTTGTAGAATGTATCTGAGATTGGTAACTTCAGAATTTAGGAAAATTGCTTCCGAGTGAGATTCTTGGTCTTTAAATTCGAGAGCTGAAACATAACCAACTTAGTAGGTTTTTTGAACACTGTAGTTGAAGAAGTAATTGAAAACTATTCCATAGGAATTGCAAAATGAATAGAAAAGTGTAGTCAATAACACAGAGTTGTTCAAAGTTTGAACAAGCATTCGTAATGCCTCCGGATATTGATCAAGTGACGGAACCAAATGAAGATTAGTTTTTCGAATCTTCATCATCGGTTGCGAAACTTCTTCATCATTAGTGGTTGTTGGATCAATATTGTGTTGAGAAGCAGCCTTCGCATGGAATTTTGGAGAAATTTAGAAACGATGAACAATTAGGCTTCTTGGTGGTTTCATCAGAGAGCATAAAGTTTGATAAGGAAATAATCATCTTCCTTTTATAATTGGTTGTATTTTGAATTTGAAACAGTATCTAATAAGTCAATGTCGCGTATTGTGTTGGTTACTTAACCGACATTGTAAAAACCTCAACGTCATAAAAGTGATCATCACGTTCTCCTTGACTCTAGTGCAAATCCTAAACTGTCACGTCTGTCGGATCTTTTGTTGTTCCAAATTGGATAAGAACCGTCACAAGTTTCATTCATCAAATAAGGACACCATGTAATTCGACACCAAGGTAAGATCAATCCTTCGGCATGGAGGCTAGGCTCATTTACTTTTGGGATTTGGAAGCGAAATCATATGCCATAATTTGCAAAATCTACGCTTTGAGTTGGTAATACCCAAAACCTTAAGGATTTCAGTGCGTTCGTGTGTAAAAGAATCAGATAGAATCAATTTAATACAAAATATGGATATAGTGATATCAAATTTCATTTGATACGAAAGCAAGATGATCTCGGAAAAATATCTCTTTATTCGATATCAAGAGAGATGAAGAATTGCTTTTGTGGTATCCAATGAATTACAATCGAACACTCGTTGATGAGCATTGAAGGGATTCTTTTGCTTTGGTTTGGAAGGCGGATTCAATTTTGCATCAAGTCACAACTTAACATAAGTGTGACTTAATTGAGAAAAATTACGGGGATGACCAATGTAGTGAAGAAAAAGTATGTCTGGTGATGATTTTTATTGACAAAAGTTCAGAAAAGATATTGAGACAGAAATCTCAAAAATAAAATAAAATATTGGATCCTTTTAGGCAAAACGTCTTGATGTTAGAATATTTTATCAAGATCACTCAAATCGAATAGCATGAAATTTTAAATAACAAAATGGTAAAACGAAACAATTATTTCGTGAAAATTTTTAACAAGGTTGTTTAGTGTCAATTCTTTGATAGTTAGGTTCGTTGGGTTTCACCATCATCATGGAAGAATGATTCAAGATCATAAACACAAATTTTTGACATATCTACATTCTGGTAGGTTTCGACCAGAGATTTCGAGGATATGTAGTGTTGTGTGTGATCGTGAAAGAATTGTTGATGAAAAAGATTTTGTGAAAGAACTCATTGTACCTCTGCTAAAAATTTGGACCAAGTAGAAAATTTTTGACTCGTCATGAGAAGAGTAAGGTAGCTCGCCGACTAATGTGAATACAGCCTGATTGGGAAGAAACTTTCATGTGAAAGATTTCATTAAGACTTCAAACACATAATGTATTTGAGGCTTAGAAGACAACATGTAACAACGTGCTTCTATGGATACTTAACCAGTACATAATTTCAAGTAATACATGTTCCCTTGATGAATGTGTGTGTTTGGCATGCAAAATAGCATCATGTTGCTATAGTGAGACTTCAACGACAATATTTTTGTATTTTTAGTTTTATAAAAAAAAACAATTTTATGAAAATCTTTTTGGAATTTTTTGTTTTTGAAAGCAAACACAAAAATTTTAAAAAATCTTTTTAGATTTTTTATTTTAGAAAACAAATGCAAAAATAAGAAAATCTTTCTGGATTTTTGAGTTTAGAAAACAAACACAAAAATAAGAAAATCTTTTTTTTTTATTTTTGATTTTTGAACAAAAAGACAAAAATAATAGAATTGTAACACATTACCTAGATACATGCAACCCATAAGCTAATAGGTATCAAGCATGAGTTGTGAATCGAAAGTCTTCCAGCAAATGCAAATTGTTTACTTAGCAATTTAGAGAGAAGTCGAATGTGAATGCACTCGAACGCTGAACATGAATAGTAACCTATGAAAAGAAAACAAACAATCAAAATTGAGTTAAAACACATGAAAGAAATACCTACTAATCAAAATTAACAATAACAATCGAAACAAAGATTAAAATTATGTTCAAGTCTATTTTAATCAGAATGAGGAACTGGACATGCTTCCATCAAACACAGACCATTCAAAATCCTTAAGAATAATTTTTCATCTAAAGGTTTTCTAAATGTCAGCTAGTTGTTATGTTGTTTTAACAAAATGGACTTCTATGTTTCCATGTAACATCCCAAAAATAAGACCCAAAAACTTCATTTTTTGGATTTAATAAAAACATTAATCCAATATTGTGACACAATCCCAAAAGATCAAAATGTGACAATACATCAAAACATATCATAATAATTCTCAAAGTGTGGAAAAAGGTGGTGTATGTTCTGCAACCATCTCGGGTACTTCCCCTTTCGATCCTGAAGTACCTGAAACATAAAATCAAAACCATAACCATAAAGCTTAGTGAGTTCCCCAAATATACCACATACCATACATAAATAAACACAAACCAGACCCCCACCCAAAATCAAGCATCGCCCGACATCGAGTCACACCCAGCCTCAGGCCTCGCCTGGCATCGAGCTCCGCTCCGTTTACAGATATGTCAATCATCAGGACCTTCCTGATACACATACAACATATAATCATATAATAATACTAACACATTCAATATTCACAAAGATAATAGCATACAATACTAACAACGGCCTCGCCCGACATCGATCCCAGCTCGGTATACATACCAACGCATACACATGTAAGAATCACACAGACATCTAGCATCCTAACATAACAAACTACAGTCCGACATTGGTACCTTTGACCCGCTAAACAGTGAGGAAAATCACCTTGCACTGCTGAACCTCACAGAAAAAATCCCTATATGTTGGCCCGCTAAAATCCATTTACTATCACAAAATAACATCCATTTCATAATTAGATCCCAACTCACACTAAAAGTCCAACCTAGGGTAAAAGACATTTTTGCCCTTCCCTTAACTTGGCCCAAGGCCAAAGCCCAATCCTAATGTCCAAAACGCCCAAATTCCTAAATAATCATCCAAGGTCCACATATGGCCCAATTTTCCAAATGTGGCCCAACAAGGCCCTAATCATCTACTATCCAAACATGGCCCAGCACCGTGAGCCCAATCATTTTGAAGCTCAACTGAGTATTCAGCTCGTACGCTAAGCGTAAGCGTACTCGCTTAAGCGCTTATACGCATGACGTACCTCCTTGTACACCTAGCGTACTCCACCCTTTCAGCCAACTTTCTCATGCAACTCTTAAATGGTTAAGACTTCACTCTAACACTTAAATTTGACTTCCTTAAGGTGGTTTATCACGTAAAGTTGCCAACTTTATGTACATGCATGACATAATGAGGCTCTAGAGCTCAAAAGAGCTTAATAAATGACTTAACACATGCATGAGACCATAAATGCCATAAAGCTTGCATTTTTATGGAAAAGCGGACCTAAAGGACCCTAGATCTACCATCAATCACTTCTGGAGTGAATAAAGAGGCTCAAAAATCCAACCATGGACTCAAAAAGCACAAAATGGCACCAAACTAGATCTAGCAACATGGATTAGCAAGATGGAGGCTTTTTACCTAACAAGGAAAGCAAATGAAGAACAAATTACAGATCCTCAAACTCCAAGCTCAACTCCAAATGGTTCACTTATTCTTCTTCTTCACAAACACCCAAAAATAACACTTTAAGGCTCAAACTCTCAAGATCTCACTTAGGGTTTGTTTTCTGGACAAGTGGATGGACGTTGTCTTAACATAACCTAGTGAGGCTATCACAAGGTTTAAATAGGGTGTAACACCCTAAAATTAGGGTTTCATTAATACATGTGTATTCTAAGGTCATGATCTAAATCTAGGCTAGTACGCTAAGTCTACCACTATGTACCCCCTGCATACTAGATCAAGGACCAAAATGCAATACTTTTAATAAGTAGGGATCATATGAAACTTAAAAATTTCCAAGTGTTACAATTCTCCCTCACTTAAATCAGACTTCGTCCTCGAAGTTCGTTGCACCGAATAACTCTAGATAGTGCTCCATCATCTCATA